ATCCGTCTTCTATAGGACTGTAATGGTTGATACACTGTGTCAACTTGAGAAGTTTAGAAGCTTAACTAAGTGACTCAGCAGAGGGTCAGGGTCTTCACTTCGCAAACATCCTCATCCTGTGCAAGAGGAGGGCACCGAGATGGTGTGAGTGCTACACCTGCTCTAGGGGGTGGAAGCCTTTTTAAAACATAAGGGAGGAAAACAGGCTTGCTCTCCCCCACTTTCTGCTCTTGTTGCTTTTGCTGTCTTCTGCAGCCTTGGACTGTTGCTCCTGTGCCATGTGCCACCCTGTTTTGGAGCCAGCTGATTATGGAATGAAACCTCCACAAGCTGCGAGCTAAATAAACCTTTCCTTCCCTAACTTTAGGTGTCAGGTATTTTGTTTCAGCAACAACAGAAAAGTAACTAAGACAATGACCACAAGTGCTGCATGGGCTAAGAAATGAAGGACAGGGGAGAGGAGAATGTACACCCTGGAGTCTGATTACATGAATAGGAATCTTAGTTTTAACATTTTTTACCTGTCAACTTTGTCAAGTTATTTAAGTTTATGGGAACAGAATGATGCTTATTAATAGGTGTACAAGAAACAAATGAAGTCACTTAAGGATTTACCATTAAACATCAACTCAGTAAACACTGGCTTTTTAAATATAAAACACACAGAATGCAGCAACAAATGAAGAAACTCATTTTCTGAAAAGGGGAGAAGCTTTTAACAGCCAGTGTGCGGTGGAACTGGGATTCCAGTTGAAACTCAGAGGACCCAAATGGTATTGTCTCCATTTTGACCTCTCCAAACCCTAATTCAGTACTGAAGGCAGGGTGGGTGCTCAGTTAATACAGGCCAAATTACTCAATGTACTATTAATTCACTTTTACAATTATATTAAATTTTAAATGTAACAAAAATTAGGTCTAATGAATTGTACTTAATTAAATTTTTATTAACTTATAAAATTAAAACCTCCTTGCAACTGCTTAATTTACAAATGCTCACTAAGCAAACCAGGGAAAGGTTTTGCTAATTGTCCTCTGCTTTTGTGGACCCTGTGGCCAGAGAGTTTGCCTATCCAGCTTACTTGGAAGCTTTCGTATTTCTGTTTTTTCTCTCTCTCCTTTTAAAAGACACTTATCTGTCAAGCAAGACTCCAATCAGCAAAAAAAAATACTTCTGTTGCCAATGTGATTGATGTACAGATTTAAATCTTATATTAAAATATATCTTACTAATAAGGAAAGATAGGGGCTGGGGATTTAGCTCAGCGGCAAAAGCGCCTGCCTGGCAAGCGCAAGGTCGTGAGTTCGGTTCCTGGTACCGGAGAAAAAACAAAAAAAACAAAACAAAACAAAACAAAAAAACAAAACAAAAAAAAAGGAAAGATATAACAGGGCCTTGCAGCCTCATTAAATTCACTCAGTAAGTAATGTTAGATGTGGACATAGAAGTTAGTGATGTGACACTTTTTTGAGGTGGGGGTGGGGTGGAAATAAAATAATATGTCAAAGAAAGAGTAATTTTTTCTGAGACAGGGTCCAGCTTTGTAGTTCAGGCTAGCCCTGAACTCACTATGTAGCCCAGGCTGGTCTCAAACTCATGGTGATCCTCCTGCCTCAGCCTCCTAAGTATTGGGATTACAGGTGTGCCCCACCAGAACCAGCTAAAGAGAGTTTTCAAGGTCATAAAATCCTCCAGATTTCTGCTAGACTCTTTCCCACTCACACAGGAATGTAAACATACAAACCAAATGACCAGCTGAAAGCTACTGCAGGTACAAACGGCACTTTGTATTTTATGTTGATCTTCTACCAATGCTGCTCACTGATAGAAGATCTTCACTGCATTCTGCACTATGCACACTTTTCTATGAAATATATTTTCCTCATTATGAATAAAATCTAAAACAATGTGGAGATAAATGATTAGATTTTTTTTAAAAGAATTAAGGTGAAGTAAAATGGTGCAAGCCTATAATCCCACGTACTTGGGAGGTTGAAACAGGATGACAAGTTAAAATCTGAGATAGAATTTAGTGAAACCCTGTCTCAAACTCAATGAATTAAAAGGATCAAAGGTGTAGCTGAACAGTAAAATGCCCCTGAGTTTGAGCACCAGTGCCACAAAAACAAAAAACAAACCAAAAAAACCCTGCACAGTTTCTCTTAAATGAAGTACACTGCATAAGTTTTGCAGGGAATTTATTTAATTGACACAAACTTTATTAATACCCCTTCCATGAACTCCCATGATACAACAAAGGGTCAAGTCATCCCAGATGCTCATTTAAAATTTTCTGGTGCTGGAAATCTATACTGCTTCACTTACACAGCAAATATTTTAATAATTTTCAAGTACTTATCCTGAGGTTTTAAAAATACCACGTTAAAGTGTCTTTTCTGAAAGATATGCCATTAATTGGCGAATCTGAAGGTGTTTTCTCCATTAAATAGAGGTAAAAAGAGAAAGAAGGAAATATAGGTCTATTTAACGATCTTTTCATTACCAAGCCGACTGGCAGTATTCCCTTGTCTCTCTAAAAATGCGGCATACTTTTGCGGCACAAATGCAAAGCAGCAATAGAAAGGTTCTCCTGAGTGTTCAGTATCTTTTAGAAATACTACTTAACTTTAAATGAAATAATAATCCTTTAAGGAACAAAGTTATCAAAACTAAAAAAAATTTAAGAATTTACTAACAGATATTTCCAAATTTTTAATTATTTTACAAAATATAATTAAGTCCTTCCTATTTATTAAAATTTACGAGATGATCTTTATAATGCACACATTTCTTCAGCAAAGATGAAACTATTATGAAACACATTTTCTGTATTTCTTTCCATGTAAGGATGAAACTCATTTTAAGGTGGAGTTTGGAATTATTACAACTGTCACTGGTTGCCCAGTGTTCAAACATGAGCGTTTCACTCCCAGGTGTGTAACTGGTGCGATCTTGCACATGCAGGCAGCCCTGCAGGTGCAACCGCTTGCCCTCTGCGCTTTCCTATTCACCGCAGGGAAAAAGGAAGCACTGCCCTGAGTGAGTTCGGAAGGAAACAACAACAGCAGCGGTGGCCCCTTTCTTTCCTTCTCCGTAGGCGGCAGCTGCGTGCCCTCCAGAATGGAGTTACCCCTCTAGCCCGCATGTCTGCACTAGTGCAACCGTGCTGTAAAGTGGAGCTCACCAAGAGGAGGTGCAGTTGCTTCTGAAGACACGCCACTTTTGATTTTGTTAATGTTTGAATTAAAGGTGATATTTTGGCCCCCATCTGCTACTCTTTTTCCTTTCTCAGTTGATTTAGAAGCTGAGCGGTGGGAAAGGAGCGTTGTCAGGCTGTTGTCTCAGACCTCAAATCAAAGGCTCACTTTCCTTGTTTAGCCCTCAGCCAGCCAAGATGGTGATTCGTTTCCACCAACAGACAGGAGGAACAAGACTATCAAATTCTCTGTGTGTCCGTGTGTCTGTGTGTGCGCGCGCGCATGCGCACACGCATGCACATGCGCACAGATGTGTGTGCACTTGTAAGGTTTGAATCCAGGGGACTTTACACTGAACTGTAGACCTGGCCATTTTTAATTTTTTTTTTTTTTTTTTTTTTTTAATTTTAAAACAGGATCTTGCTAAATTGCTGAATTGCCCAGGCTGGGTTTGAACTTCAACCCTCTTGCCTCAGCCTCCCAGAGTGCTGGGATTCTGGGTGTGTGCCAATATTTTGAAACCATTAGGTGTAGCCCTCATATTCAAACCAAAAACACCACCATTTTATATTTTGTATGTAATATACATTTGTATACATATATATAATTTCACTAAAAGAATACTTACCTTTTGTTTTCCTATATTCCAAAGAAAACAGTAAAAACAAAAAGTAGTAAACACAGCAATTTCCCATTTATCTCTGTGGAACTTACACCAGACAGGTGTTCATACTTGCTGTAGTGTCCAAGTAACTTTAGTGTAAGTCTGCTCTGCCCTCGTGTACCTAAAGGATGTCACAGCTTCATGCAAATGCACAGAAAAACACCCATGGACGTACAAAGGGACACTACACCATGCTAATTCTTCACTAAGGCCGTCCTTTTAAGAGACACAATATATTTAAAATATACATTTTTTTTTAAGAGAAGAGTTAGTTCCTTCCTGAAAAGCCACACTTTTGAAAATATGAAGTAGCTGATTCAAGTAAGGAACTTATTACATAGAAAATCCATACAACAAAAATCACTTTTTCTCAGGTTACGAGACTATCTAATCCCATTTCTATCTATCTATCTATCTATCTATCTATCTATTTATTTATTTGGTACCGGGAATCGACCTACTTCTTTTTAAAACAAGTAAAAACAGCATTTTTTTCAGGCTTGATTTTGTTGACCTATGTGAAATACAAGAAACTGTTTAATAAGCCACAAACAAAAGCTAAAAAATGAACCACATAAACTTATAGAATGAATCCTTTTAAAAGATTTGCAAAGCTTGTTTGTGTCTGAAACTATTATACTGTCATATGCAGTAAGGTACAAGATCCACGTTTGTTTGCAACATGCCTTTCTGAAAACCTCTAGAGTTATTAATGTGGAACATAAAATAAAATTTTGCACTTGTATGTTTTGAGGTATAGCACTTTAAAGAAAATTGAGATATGTATTTTAATCCAGTCATCTTGGCTTCACTTATCCTGTCAATTCATTTTTTACCTAATAAAATGAGGCAGGTTAAGGTTTTATATTACAATGAATTGTTCCCTCATTCTCATCACAATTATGTAGGAATATGAACTTCTGGTTTCTGTCAAATGAATCTTTATAACAAAGGCGAGAATGTAAATGGATGTGAGCCTCTGTGATTTTGGATTGCACACAAAATATTGACTGCTAACGGATATGAATATTTATCAGCTGGTGTTATTAAAAAGGCAAATTTTTCCTCCTCAAGTTTTTGAATAAACAATTTCAAAATGTTACGCCATCTGTCAGTGTTTTCTGAAAACAGTACAAACCTTCTTTTTTATCTTCTGGAGTAATCTTCACTTTTGTATCTGTTATATCTTTGAACGAGGCCAGAAAAAGTACCACATCTCCTTTCTCATTCTTTATAGGGACGATATCCAATAGACACCAAAATGGAGACCCTGCAACAATAACAAGAGGACAAAGAGCCATTGCTTCCCATCTGTTCTCTAAAATGTCCAATCATTAATAAAAATAAAGCCCTTGCTGTTTTCTTCTGCCCCACCATTCCCCCACCTTGAAAATGTCAGTTTTCAGCCTCCATAAATATACATCTCTTCATACTAGAGTGAAATGCTTTCTTGAAAATAATGCAGTATTTTGAACAAAAATGCTTGTCTGTGGTGAGACATTTCTGCAGACATCATGGAAATAATATTTTTTCTTTGAGCTTGCTGAAGCTGAAGCATCCACTTCACAAGAGCTTGCCCCGTCTTCCCCCAGCACATAGTCGTTCTCAAGGACTTTATTTAGTATGAGTTTGCTCTACGTTTATTTAGTTAATTTAAAAAAACAGTGATTACCCACTAGAGCAGCCAAAATAAGATGATGGAAAGTATCAAGTTTGAGAGAAATCTTTTAGACTGTTGTACATCTTGGGCTGGTTTCAAACTAATACATGTACTTAAACAACTGCTTGGCAGTATGCAGTTTTATTCTTACAATACAGCAATGGACATCAGTGCAAATGGGTGATTTATGATTATTCACAACCAAAAAGAGGAATACCATGAACATAATTTCAATCAAAAGCAGCCAAACACAAATGAGTAGAATGAAATATAAATTCATTTACATTAAATACAAAGGCAAAATTAATCTATGGTGTTAAAAGTAAATTTAGGCATGACTATTGAGGATAGTGACAGAAAAACACACAGAGCAGGGATTTCTGAGATGCTAGTTAAATTTTATTTCATGAACTTCGTGCTGTTTACATAAAGTAGATTCAGTTTTTAAAAACATGGATTTTTCAATATATTATGTTTAAATAATATATTTGCAAAATAATTACAATCAATTCCACTTTTTGAGCAAAATAACTATGAAAACAATAAGACTTTAATTCAAAAATCAAGTATTCAAAGGGTCTTGCTTAAGGCTTATATTCTTATATATTTTTATAGACTTTAAAATATGATTTTAAAAGTATATAAAATTTCCTACACAATATTTCCTATTAAAAAGGAGTCTGAATAGAAACATTTATAAATGATAGAAAAGTTGCTGTTTAATTAAAAATAAAACTCATTAATCTAGTCACATATATTTTTCATTTTTATGATGGGAAAAAACAATTCAATACTGTACATTTTCATTTACATAAGAGTTAATTTCAAGTCAGAGTATAAAATTTAAAAAAGACATAGAATTGACTTGTTTTGTATATACTGTATTAAATGTCACAACTTCCAACCCAGCTGATATATCCATCCTCCCTTACAATCTATATTTTTTCTTCAGTGAAAGACCACATGAAGCAGTTGATTTCTATTTAGAGGCCATTCTACTTAAAAGTTATATTTTATCCTAGCTGGTAGTATAGCTTTTGAAAAGTGTGAATGACTTCACATTGCAATAAAGTGTCCAATGTGCTGCTACCATAAAATACACATGGAAATTATGAAACGTGATAAATTATGCATGGAGTATGATAAAGAATGCCTGCTCCTCCCAACACTTTCATAGTCATGCGTTCCTGCTTGCTGTTTTGATTTACACCTGTGCTTTTGCGCTTCATTCATCTGGCCCAAGATCCATGCCAGAAAACCCTTATTTCGACACTCTATCACTAGGATCCAGGAAAGCAGGGATCTAACCATTGCCCCAACACTAATTAGCTATTTGAGTATGGGTCAGTCCAGTAAGCTTTCTGGAGTTTGGTTCTCTGCACTGTAACATCCTCATATCCATATTTAGTAGTGGAGATAGTATCCCCTCAAATGCTGTGATAATAAATTAATTCCAGTATTTGTGACTAATAGAGAAACCTCCTATGAGCGTAGAGGGCGAACGAGCCATAGCTCTGACAGATGCTGTTCTCCCCATCATCCCAAAATGGTTTTTAGTTCAAGTATTATCTATGGTATCATTTCAACTTGGGGGCCTTTTTCACTGTTCTTGCAACTGAGGAAGAATCCAAGAGCCATCAGGTCAAGCGAACAATCAGATCCTAGAAAAAGGAACAGCGAGGACTCAGCGAATGATGACTGACAGTTGGGTCACATTTAAAAGTCTCTCCCCATCAGTTCCTTTGCAAAAATATAACAGAGTAATAGCAGGCAATTAATTTTTCTGAAAGTCTCTTTTATCTCTGCTCTCAGACGAGCATCATTATTGTCTCCACAGAGCCTCTACCCGGCAGCACCGATGTACTTTGGAAAGAAGAAACAGCACAAAATGAGGTGAAAGCCGAGGAAACAGCTGCCAACGTGGCAATATTCTCTAATCAGCTCTTCACGGAGAGACATCGTCTCACGTTATGTTCCAGGAGAGTTAAAAGTTTCTGTGAATTTTGCCTACTGAATTCTGAGATGCAATGTTTCACATTTTATACATTCAGTAAGACTTTATTCATATGGGTCTCTCTAAGTTCAACTTTTATAATGATTTGACATGAACTAGGATGGTGTCTACATTTCCAGTGTGTATATGACAAAATATTCTTAGGAAAGCAATATAAAGGACAAATAAATCTATTTCCTTCCTTCTTTCCTTCTCCTTTCCTTCCATCCCTCCTTTCTTTCCTTCCTTCACTCCCTCTCGTTTCTTTCCTCTCTCCTTCCCTTCCTTCCTTCCATCTTTTTTCCGCTCCTTCCATTTTCCCTCTCGTTTCTTTCCTCTCTCCTTCCCTTCCTTCCTTCCATCTTTTTTCCGCTCCTTCCATTTTTCTTTCCTTCCTTTTCTCACTCAGCTGCTGCTTCAGATTTATCGACAACAACTTCCCTACAAATTCAGCTTTGGAAACCCCCAAACTTAGAGAGCAAAGCATACTTAGCAAAGCAAATGCGAAGTGTTTCTTCTTCCAAAAAGAGACGATAGATTCCAAGAGGTTCTGGTCAGATCTAACACAAGACCCTTCACTTTTAGCTAGTTCATTTGTGTTTTTCTTTTATGCTTTCCCAAATCTCTCCACCAGACCTTCATGCTGGCTCTCTGACAATGTCTCCAACCTTTCATGACTGCAATAATTTAAGGCTGCTCACGATGGTCTGACTTTTCTTGTACTGTCTATGGGCATGATGATGATCAACTTCTTTCAGTCAGAAGCAATTCAGGCCCAGTCTAATAAAGTTCTTGCAGGGGTAGAGGGGGAGTTACCGAGTCTCTCAGCTTTGACTTCAGAGATGTGAATGATTCCTAAGAGCAGGGTGAGAGGGCAGCAATCTTGTATGTTTTTAACTCCTTCTGTATATAGCAGCAGTAATTATTATGTGAGGTGCAGAGTGGAAAAGCAAATGAGGCTCTGCCAGATTTAAGTTAATAATGCCTTTAATTTCCATGGATAAGTACCCTTGGTGGGGGAAAAGACAGGGCTTATACTTTAGATGGTAAAGTTTACTTTGGGAATCAAATAAATAGACTATCCCACATCTCTTTTTTGGCACTTCCTTTCCCCCATTAGGAAAACCAGAGGCAAAAGAATTTGATTTGTTAATATTTGGAATTGCAAAAGGACCCGTATGCTTTACATAGACCACCCACCACCACGGAAATTATATTTGGCAGAAAACGGAAACTGTGACAATGCTTCTGGTATGAATCCGTGATTCAATACAGAAAAGTACAGATAAAAAGAAAGTTGAGCCGTGAGTGGTTCCACTCTCTTCAGTAATTGTGCCGTCATGATAGGAAATAGTTTTGTTGCTCAAGGTAATACAATGGCTCAAAGTGGGATATGAACACTTAGCATGTCCCCACACTTTTCTGTATTAAGCAGGAGCTGGAAAGGAATTTCAATGACAAGTACATGTAACCTTTATTTTATGAAATTATGTCAATAATAAATACAATATCCTGTTTGTTGCGTGACTAAGCATTCTCAGGTGCTTCTCATGTGTCACATGAAGTCTGCTCTCAGGACTCATTAAAACCATTATCTCTGTGCTACTTATGTTATAGTGAGAGGCGATCGATTTTATAAATCAGTCCAAGGGATACATATACTAGGGGAGCAGTGGAAAAATACCTGCAAATGAATCAACCAGACTGCTTCCAATGGGAGCGTAGGGACAGGCACTGGCATCTGTAGCAGGAAAGGTGGGATGGTGACGGAAGTCCTAACAGAATCTATCCCTTGTGCACCCACCTTGTTCCACCCTTCGTCACCTCTCACTTGCTCTTTGGAAGTATTCCCTCTGGATCTCTGTGTTTTATTTTTCCAATGACCTTTGAAAATATAGGGCCCTGATTAAAAATAGTCAGTGGTTTGTCACAGCTTGTGCAAATCATTAGCGTAGCATTCCAGCATCTCATCAATATGCCAGGTCTATTTTCAAGGGACTACAAAGGAGAACAAGAGTGGGATAGTCAGGGGCTGGGGATTTAGCTCAGTGGCACAGCGCCTGCCTGGCAAGCGCGAGGTCGTGAGTTCGATATTCCTGGTACCGGAAAAAAAACAAAACCAAAAAAAAAGTGGGACAGGCAGTGTGAAGAGATGAACTAATGGAAGTGCTACTTTAAAATGGAGGGCATGGTTACCTTAATTACCCAGAGCTACATGGGAAATCAACCTCTCTAGCACCCTCGCTACCTCTTCCTGGTGTCTGACAAGTAATGTTTCCTTAGGAAAATAACGTGAAGGTTTTGCCTTTCTACAATGAGCACCTCTCCAAAGCACCAGCTATCTCTAGCGCAACCTACACAGGTCATAAGACTTTGGGAGCCCTTGCTTGACCCCGTTCCCCAGGCTGTTTCTCTTCATAGTCTCCTAGGATGCTTCACAATGGCGATGTGTAGACCATGGCAGGTCTACGCGGGACATGCAGGAACATTCCAGAATAAATCCCTTCTCAGACTGGAAATAACAAAGGCAGCATACTGCATGAAATGTCTGAGTCAAGGCTGTCTTTTTCCAATGATCCTTGAGGAAAAGAAGGTCATATGTGACTGATCACTGTTA